GGTCCGCCTTTTTCGTTCATTTAAATTCGCGAGCGAAAAAACGCTCGCTTTTATATACCCCGCTGATAAGTCCGCCTCGCTTTCGTCCTTCTGTTCCGAGAGCGTTATCGTCAAGTCGACGAACTCGATCGTGCCGTGAATACCCGCATCGAAGATAACGCCGAATAATTTACCGAACTCGAAAGAATTTTTTCTAAGGAATTGGAACAGCGTACCGAGACAAAGAAGGCAAGAGGAAAGGGAAAGAGAGATAAGGAGATAATTCAACGAATTACATTCGCGTATTAAACCAAGATTTCATATTATCGATTCTAATTAAGCTGGAAAATTGAAAATGACCCGAATTAAGCGTTAATCGATACTGTCGCGTCACTGCGAGAGAAGAGATTGCGCCGGATTAATCCAGCCGCTTTCGACAGAGGTCCCAAAACATTACGCCGAGGAAAAAGACGCTGATGCGCAGCACTCGGCGGCCTTTTTTAATGCTCGTGCCGCGACGGCACGAGCCCGTCGCATTATTTTGCCGTGACGAGGAGCGAACGGGTTGATTGGCCTGCCGTCAGATAACCCTGAGCAGCCGAGAATTGTATCCGGTTATCGTGCGGTTATCGCTTTAAGCGAATAACGCAAAAAGCATTGGTAATGCACTCTCCGCGGGACTCGCCGCGCCGCACCGCGCCGCGCGCCGCTCCGTCGAGACGAGCCGAGCCGAGTTCGCTCTCTCGCGCTGCGAGAGTTAACGTAACCGAACCCTCGTCCGCGGCGCACACGAAACAGATCCCCTTTCTCTTTTTTCCCCTCCCTTCCACCCCCCTCGTCGCCCGTTCGTTCTCCTGTCCGCCTTCTCGCTGGCTTTGACGGGCTTCCGTTGTTTCGATTTATCGAGAAACCGGAACCGAGACGCCACTTCACCGTGGCCGCCGCTCGCATTTATTTTCGTCCTTCGCGAAAGACAATTCGCAGCTGCGGGGTATACGCACGCGTATCGATCTCCGTCTGTTTGTATGGAAAATTATCAAGTTAAATCGTCGAGCAGCGAGACGTAGTGATATATGCAGCACAATCCGTAAAATCTACGAGTACACGGTCACGTCTAATGAAACGCTGCACCGTGCAAGAAGCGCGGATACGAAAATTCATTTCGTTGGTTTTTTTTTTGTTTTGTCATGTGCTGTTATCCGTTATCCGAGCAAGACGGGTAAGAGGAGCGGTGCGAAGATGCTCCGAAGATGCGGTGGGTCAATGATCCATCGTGTTTATGAGAAATCGGGTCAAAACAAGGAGGAAGGCGATAAAAATCAGACCGGCAGTCAAGGGGAAGGGTGAATACGACGGCCTCTCTCGACAGCAGGTGTGCGATGAACTCACCGAGGGCAGAGTTCTTTCTTGCGAGCGAAAGGAAAGACAGAGCGGGGACGGCCGTACCTTCCCTTGGGATAAAAGAGGGTGTTAAGTTCTCGGGGGTTGCGGGGTTGTTGTGACGGCGCGCCTGTACACAGCGGTCTTCGACTCTTAGCGATCTATCATCCCTTTCTTTTCGGGCCCCGCCGTGACTTTCGGCGTCGCCAGAAATAGTCGCGGGAAATCTGACACGTTGGCAGATAGGAGAGAGATCGAGCTTCTGGAATTGACTTGGAAATCTGCATGATTTCCGAGAAACTCGGAAAACGCCCGAAATTTCACTTTTATATCATCGCCGCGTTATTGATTGGGAAAACAAAGAGAATTTTCGTAAAAAATATATGTATATATACCTGGGTCCTCTTAAATTGCCAATTAAATTACAGCACGCTATCGGGAAGCTGTAAAGTGCATCGATAAAATAAATCGAAATACTAATTGATAAATAGCGGAATGTTATCGGCGGTCTTGTATCGGCGTCGGGGCGAGACGTGCGGTACGGCGCGCGTGTCGCCGGCAAACAACACGCCTGTTTCTGAACGAGAAACGAAGTTCGATACGCGATTATTATGACCCGCGGTGAGCCTTGAACTTGCCCTACGATAAGCGAGGCCGCTTTACGAGAGTCGTTGTTGCTGCGCGCCTCGCCTTCCCGGGGCGTCGGGCGTTCGTACAATCATCGCGATGTATACATATGCGCCGCGCGTTCTTGGATCACTAATCAGATCGAAATAGATTGCGGTGATTTTTCAACGCGTTTATGTTGCGCGCGTGCATCGAATTTACGTATTGACGGTACAAAGATGATATTTTATTTTATTAATTTCTTTATGAAAGACCTTCTGCATTTGTGAAACAGGAAATGATACAGACGAGATACAGATTGAAATTTTCTATCTAACATATAGTACCCTATCGATGTGGCAATTTCAAATCGGTCTTGATCAAACGCAGGATTATAGGTAGTTTCACGCCATCCCTAGTTGTACGGTAGCAGCTGAACAGTCAAGCCAGTCAATCCACCAACCCCCTATTCAACGTCGCTACAATAATAAACCACCTCGGTTATCTGTATTTCTGTATTTCCCTCAGGGATTCACGGCACATTCAAGCATCGAGGCCAAGTTCAAATTATACATATATATACATCGTCCGCTAACGGCGTTTTGTCTGGACGTTTCTACCTTCTTACGGCTATATATCGCGCGTGTCTATCGAGATTTCGCAGAACCAATTGCCGAGGGATAGCATGTCTACTCGCGATTTATAGTAATCGTGCGATTTTTCACAGAGCTACATATTTTTACATTTAACGCAAATTACTATCTACAGCAATACGCACATCACATTTACGCAAATAACGTGAAAAAGATTTAAATAAATGCCGATAACACGATGTCAATAACATGATTTAATGGTTCACTCACCTTTTTCTCCGTGAGTTTCTCGCATCTCCTCATCTTACAGATCTGATGGCTCTTGTCGTTCCTGCACGGCGCGCAATCCCCGCAATTGTCCTTGCGCTGGCAGCCTATACACTCCCCGCATCTCTTCCGCTTTTTCTTCGCCGGCTTATCGCCAAGGCCACCGTCACCGTCGCCGTCAGTCATACCCCCGCCGAGATGGTGCACGCCGCGATTCGCTGTGGATGAGACGGCGGCGACTTGACCGGAACTTTCTACGTTGCCGGTGCCGGCACCGCCACCGCCCCCGCCGCCGCCACCATCCTCCGACTCCATTGAACCAGCACGGATTTTTCTGCGCTCCTTTTTACGGCCGTCGATGCTAATCGGCCGTGAAGTCGGCGATGAGTCCAGCACGGTCGACATTGGGTTTTGGAAATTCGCATGGTGCAGTTGCGGGTACTCGGGCTTCACTACCGTCAGCACTGTATGATGCGGATGGCCCGGTGGAGGTGGCGGAAACGCTTGGACCGGGTTGGAGCCCAGGAGCTGTATGTGACGCTCGTCGAGCATTTGCTGCTGCAGAGACGGGACCTCCCGAGCCTGTACTGGCGCCGGTACCAGAGGATAACCGACCGATCCACGATGCGGATGCGGCGCCGGGAGCGGTGCCCCAAGTGTGTGGAAGCTCGGCAGGCCCACGGCCGACGTAACCGGCGGCGAGTGCGAAATGGACGCCGGTGACAGTGGCGTCAAAGCCGTCAATTGAGGTTCGGATTCACTCGGGGCGGTAAACTGACTTGCAAAGCTGGGCAGTCCCTCCACGCCGCCGCCTTTAGACTCCCAGGGTCTGTACTGGCTCGCCGGGACCACGTCGATTAGCCGGCCGGTCAGGCCCTCGTAGTAGTCCCAACCTATTAGATTTGGGACGTCTTGTGTGTGGAGCGGCGGCAGGGTCGAGGTGTCCATCGTGTCGCCGGCGAAGCTGCTGAAGGGCGGCAGATGCCGCGCCGACAGGTCGCCGGGGCCGACCGTGCCCGGTGAGGTCGCGATCGCCGCCGGAGGGCTCGTCGGGACCCTCTCGGTGGCGACGACCTCCTTCGTCACCTCGGCGCTCATCTTCCCCGCCACGTCATCGCGACTTTAACTCCTCCACTCGGTTTTGCGAGTTTCGCGTTTCCACTTGGTGGTGGTTCTCCTCTTGGAACCTCCCGAGGATCGCGCGAGCGGTCCTCTCTCCCTGGTCCTCTTTGGATCCGAAGGCTCGAGATTATCTGCAGGTCTTTCTCGAGCGGATATTCAACGAAATTCTTGTACGCGACATTGGCGCCTTTCTCGATCGACTTGATCGCACTCCGATTCCCGTTAATCTGTCGAATCGGATCCTAGAGGTCCGATTTCCCCGATAACGACGGAGTGTCGTCCGCGATTGGCATTCGCGATGTTCGCACAAACTCTTATCTCGCGAGTAGTCGATACCGGAATAGTTACACTTGTCTGGACCCGTGTGTTTTCGGTCGCACGTAATTTCCCAGGTAATTGTCTATCCTTCAATATTACGCTCGTTCTCTCGTTCTTCTTCTCTCACTTTTCTCGATCTTCCTTTCTCTTCCGTTCTGTCTATCTATATCTTTTTATAACTCTGTGTCGTTTTGTACTCAACAGGTTTAGGCTACGAACTGAAGTAGATCGGTTGCTCTGGGAGTGTTCAAGCGAATCCGATTGATTCCTCCCTTTGTCTGCTTCTTCTTCCTTTCGCTTGGCGAAAATCTGTCACGTGACGCGTCCAGTTTAAAAAATGCACTTATATTTTACGGCTATTTCTATAAACCTCTACAAAATTGTATGCGGGCTCGCTTAATTACTCTGGCTCTGACGAAGGAATCGGTGTGTGTGTCTCACTATTATTTCACTTGACGAGAGATTATTGTTATTCGATGAATGATTAATAGAAAAAATGGTAGGTTCTTTGGTTTACGGTCCTCTCACACTGTATTACTCTGTCACTCTTCTTCTCTATTCCTTCTGTTTTAATTAAAATGCTGTACGTTTGCACTTGATCGCGTTTATTCTTATGAAATTTGTAGATAACACTGCATATGTGTGCCTAAAAGATTATTATTTCTTTTATTCAGATAAAATAAATTTTACTCTATTGTACTCTATTTTCTCGCTCTCTTTCTTTCTTGCTTTCTTTCTTTCTCTCTCTCTCTTTCTCTCTGTTACAACGATCACTTTCACTTTGCTTTCTTTCTCAATTTGGCACTGGCGGACTTGTTTATTTATTTGTTTGTTTTTATCTGTTTCTCGTCTTCCTCCTTTAATTAGATATACTTTGTACACTTATTAGCTAATATAGCTCTTAAACTTTTGTCTTCTTCTGAACCTAAGCTCTTGGGATATCCTTTTTTTTTGTGTGTTCCTTCTTTAAATCGATATAAACATACTAATTACATATTTCTTTCGCGTTTTGTAAGAAAATAGAAATCACTTGAGGTTAATGTGGCTTGTTAGAAGGCGGTTGATTTGTACGATCTGAAACAGAGGAAACAGAGGGATTTGTCCGTCAGACATTTGTGCCGCTTCTATGTATAACGAGAAGATGAAAAGTTATCCCGATAAAACGATTACTCGGTCGGCGTTAAATTGATTCGTAAAGCGCGACTTGTGCACGTCGTACTCGAGGGTGGAAAAATCAAACAGAAAAAAAAATGAAACTGCGAGCACGGATCAGCGAATACGTTATACATCACGCGAGCGGGAGCGCGCACGTGACGCGAGACTATACGAGAATGTGTCACAGACGTTGCTTATAACGTGACCATCGCTAAGCCAAGGCTACTATTACGTTCGGCGCTGGTATTCGCACACCAACTCGTACGTTCGCTTTGATACTCGCGTACGCTACGCCTAGCCGTTTCATTCACGTTGCTTAGAAGTCCGACGATGGCTTTGAACTCGTCGCATCATTCCGAGTGGAGCAACCCGATCGAATACGTAAGAGACGGACGTGCCGCTGTTGACAGACTTCCTCGACAAAATTGATAATTTCACAAAAATTATTTTCAAAAAATTAGAAAATAAAAAAGTTAATCTTTATTTGTTTTCTCAATCTAATAAATCTATTTGTCTTTTAAAAGTTAATATTTAGACTATTGAAATCCATGTAGACTTTATCGTTCAAATCGTTAAGTCTAAAGACTTGTTCGCAGTCGCGAGAGTTTCGTCGCCGTCGTTAAAATCGGGCTGCCAGCCCTTCGCGAAATATCGATCGATGTTTGTTCTCTCGTTCTCTCGCCGCTTCTCTTTCTCCTAACCATCTCCCGCTCTTTCCCCCCTTTCTCTCTCTCTCATTCTCTCTCTCTCTCTCACTTACACAGACGCACACAACCACAATTCGCGTACAGTACAAACTCTGCCACAGGGTGGCGAAAACAGCACGAACTAGTGTAGAGTAACTACTCACGTATAATTTAGTCTCGTATACATGATTTCATGTATGAGCAAACGTGAGAGATACATTTGGACGAAATTATGAAAGGATAATTATTACAGTCACGGACGGCTTGTTTCGATATACTACAGATGGGTGGTCCAGTGAAAATAGGGCTCGTTTCCGCTACCCTGTACATAATCCAGGTAACGTGCGCGTGTGCGACTGTAAGCGTGGCTTTCGCGAAGCACGCAGATATATAGACGGCGATAGCTCCCGCTATGTAGCGGTTGCTTTTCCACCCTCCCCGCTCCGCCGTCCCGTTTTCCGCCCTCAAACTCTAATAGCTTTACAGCTGTGACCGCCCGTGCTTTCGCTATCGCTGGGAACTTGCACTGTCGTTTGGCCAGCACTTTCGCTCACGGCTCGACCTTGCGGAGATGCTTCCACTATTTCGCGCTGCACACACGCGAGTGATACCGTTTACTTTGCACGTGCGTACGCACACCATATTACGTATACGCACGCACATTTATCAGCACAAAAATTTAAGAATTCATTTCGAATTTCAATTTTAGTTATCGCGACGATCGAAATGTCTGTTCTTTAACTTTTGCACAATTTGCAATTTGGCTTTTGCAATTAATTTAACATACGCGCCTACACACGAACGTATTAAATTATATTTCGCGCAATCTAATTATGAAACTATAATTAATGAGGTACGCTATTTTATGCGGATCCTAATGATTACACTGGTTGAAATTTCGTGGGAGGACCCTTCACAAGGTTCTCGTCTTAGCGATTGAACTTTGTTAATGTCCATAAATCTTGGTTTACATTGAATATCGCGAACTTTAGTCTTTAAAGGTCGCGAATCTTGGCGTACCGATAGTGCGCGCATAAATTCTGGATAGTGTATTATTCTTTGTTCAAAATGATAGCTTTATACAAGCTGAGTTACAAAGATAAATTTAAGACACTCGTCTTTTCCGTAAACCTAATTGAAAGAAAAGGAATTGTAATACAAAAATCTTAATCTTACTGAAAAACATGTATAAAAATTTGATTGGTTCTGATGTCTAATGTTATAATGAATGATTGAATATTTAATTTAAATCTGCTTGACGATATATAGAAAAGTCAATTTGTAGCAAACTGAAATGATAAAAGCAATCATTTAATTCTTTATTTCTTACTACATGCGTAAAAATAATTTGACACCCGTTAGTTCCCCATCTCCGGTTGCACTTTCGTCGAATCGACTATGTATGTGCATGTACAAAAATTCAATCTCACCGTCGCCCGTTACATATAGGGTGATTTAAAAAAAATGTACATTGAGATCGTTGGTTTCCTATTATTGAACTCCTACTATTAAAACGATTCCTTATTTTTTTTGCAATAAAAATTTCTTCAAGATTTAATTAACGAACTATTTGAGTTACAAAATTAAGATTTGTCAATTCATACTCCAAAATAAATGGCATGAGAACCATTGATACTATTTCTTTATTTTACAGCAAATTTTGCATTAAGAAAGAACAAAATTTCTAGCTCTTAATTTCTCTTTCTCACTCTTTTTCTTTCTTTCTCTAATGATAAAATTTGTAGAATCAAAAAAATGCTTCGAGTATACAAGAAACTTTTCACAAAGAAAATGAATTTAACTACGAAATTCTTCCGAGAACAAAATGTAGGCATTGAAAGACACCTTTTTTGGGACACTCCGTATAGTCGAGGCAGAGAACGAGTCGTTTGCGGATTCTTTCGTGCGGCGAAACGCAGAACGCAAATTCCGAGAAGCGCATATAAACCAGCTGCCATAGAGACCCGGAGATTCCACACGCTTGGAATTAATATTAGCCGTACGTCGCTAACGCAAATGTCGCCGAGAAAAATCGCACTCGCTCGCGTCGTTTCGCGAAGTTAAATAATTCGCAATTCACATTCCATCGAATCGAACGCAAGAAATTGGCATTCTCACGCCATCACTGAAAGGACGTTTCTGAACTGCGCTGGATAATTTTAACTTCTTACAAGCTCTACGATTCAGATTGCAGAATGCGTAAAAACCTATACAGAAACTCGTACATATGAAGAATATATGTAAGACAAAGAAGTGTATCAAATCTTTAAAGCTACTGAAATAATCTCGCGCAAACAGCAAAAGTTTCATGGCATCTCTGTCGTTAACTTCGGACTAGCTGTTGAGAGTGCGAGCACGCATCGTGCTGTTTTTCGTGCATCGGGAAGAAAAAGGGGTAAAACGGTTCACGCGCCATTTTTGCCACAGCGTAATGCCGAAATTAGCGCGATGCCATCGTGCGAGAAAGCGGATTAACGCACGAGAAAAGCAACGACGGTACAGTGGTACCAGTTCGATTTGAACTTTTCGGAGAATTCAGGCAATCGCGAGCTTTCTCAATCTCTGCCGCGAAATCGAGCTGAGGAAAATCTGAAACGCTTTTATAATATCACTCTTTAACGAACCAGTTATGTCGAACTTGAGAGAGAAAGAGGGAGAGCGAATAAATTAGAAAAATCTTGGAGAATTTTGCTAACTTTCGCGCTCGTCCGAAAACATTGTCGAACAATTTTATCAACGCGTTTGAGATTTAATCGTCGATGATAAAAAAAAAAGATCTCGTTGAAGAAACTTCATTCCGGCAACGTCCTCGATGCAGCGCGGACGCCACGCCGCGGACGAACGGGCCGCGCGTACACGAAGAGCCCGGTGCGTGTGCGCGTGCACATCCGTGGGACCTTGAATCAAGCGGCCTTTGTCGCGAGAGAGCCGAAGAGCTCGGCCGGCTCGCGCGCGAGGTCGGCGAAAGTGTACCCGGAGCTCTCCCCTTTTTTTTGCTCGCGGCCGCTGAGCGCGAGCGCGGCGCTCATTTTTGCCCTCTTCCTTCTCTCCGGAGCCTTCAGCCGCTCCGGAACTCCCTGGAGCGGCGGAAACGGACGAAAGGAGGATGCGCGTTTATTATTAGATTTTCGACTCGTCCGATTCCCTGAGCGTCGCGGACGGCTAATGACGACTGTACGGCGCTGTCGCAGCCGATGATCGACGACGGAGAGATGACAATGGGTGGGACGCTATATTGACAGCGACGCGCGCGTTCGTCGGCAACGGAGAACGGGAATTGCTCGCGTACACAAACGTATACGCAAACGCGGTCGGGTCCTGCCTTCCTACCGTCTCTCGCGTGTCTCGCGCTTCAATGACTCTCGTTCTGATGCCGTCCAAGACGAAGACCACGCGACGCTCCACTTCGAAGGACCAGTCGTGATACAGTTTTGCACGCTCGCGTTTGATCCTTCCGGCGTTCAAATCGGGGAGGGTAATCGGGGTCAGGGGGAAAAGAGAGAAGGGACGCTTCCGCGTAATTATTTTTACCAGACTCAACTTCCTCGGGCAACACTTGGCGAACCCAAACAGATCTTTCCTTCTTGCCCTGCACCCACAGGACCACTCATTGGTTCTCACGACCGCGCGGGTCGCGGATCCCGGTCCGAACCCGGGCGCATCGCGGAAACAAAGAAGCCCGCGCGAACATCGAGGGATCACCCCGCGGGCGAGCGGGCGGGCGCGGGCGAAGCAGGCAAGGCAGACGAACGAGCGAACACAGGGGTGGGAGGACCGGCACTCTTCGAATCGCGTCCACCCGGTTGCCAACCGACGTCGAGGTCACTTGTTGCTGTACGGTTTTGCGTACGGTATCGTCGCAACTCGCGCGGCGTTCCGGCGTTCTCCCCGATCTCGCCCTTTTCCGCGGCGGGAGACGGGAAAAAAAATTGGTCGCGGTCAAAATGTGTTGTGTTTGACGGGCGCGCACGCATACGCGACGCATTCGGCCGCGCACTGATTCGCGCGCGCCAGCGCACGCACGTTCGCCGGCCGGCCGGCTGCGCGCTCTTCGTGTGTACGTGTACCGGGTGTCCCGGGTGTTTGCCGAATCGCTTCCCGATTACAGGAGGAAAAGGGAAGACCAGAACGACGAGAAGGATCAGGGAAGATTGTCGTAGTTTCAACGAAAAACGTTTCTCGACGAACTTTGAACCGAACCTATTCCCAAGTGCGAAAAATCAAAAGACATCCATATTACGATGTCGGGTCTCGATTGTGAATGCGTCCAAAAACTGAGGATGCGCCACCCTATATGCACTACGTGCGTGCACGTGCGCATGCGCGCGTGCTCTCTCTTTCTTTCTCTCACAAGATACCGCAAAGTATACGTCGTGACGACGTTACGAGCATCGTGTATGAGAGCCGGTCACACGCTCGTTTACAAACGGCGGTGACGAGGAGAAGTACGACGGCGACGATGACGATCACGACGACGACGACGACGATGACGATGACGACGACGACGACGACGAGGATGAAGAAGACGACGGAGTGAGCGACGACACGCATCGTAAAACACGCATATCTGGTGTAGATGCGTAACGGTTCGTGTTAAGGGTAGGGGGACAAACGAAGGCAGCGCGGGGGCAACGCGGACGGGGACCAGCGCAGGGAGGGCGGCAGGAGGGCTTTCGCAGCGTTAAACCCACCCACACAGGCGCGCGATATCGGAAATGATATAAAATTGCGTCGAGCGCGACGCTGATATTTAAATTGGTTCGCTAAACCACGGATTAATGCGCGCAACGACGTCCGAGCCCACGCACAGGCTTCGGAAAAAGAGTGCTGCGTAAAAAAAAATATTACGCGATTAAACAGAAGGCAATCGAGAACTGCCACGGGGTCGTATTTTTCTGCCCCCCCCCTTTTTTAAATGAAAATTAATTAATATCTCCTATGACAATAGGAGCGAAATGTGTAATACAATACGTGATTTTATGATCAAATAGTTTAAGAGCTGTATGAGATGTTTCGAAAGAATCAAGATATCGAGAATAATATGCGGTATCGAAAACAATATTGTCTCGAGATATGGTTTGATTACTTAGGATTTGATTTGAAACATCGAAAATCAAGTAAAATCAACAAACCTGTTGGTAATCGTACGAATTTTTTTAGATTATTAGAATATATTAGCTTTCTGATACGCTTTTTGGAACTAGAATAACATATGTTATACTTACGTCGTATACTCATGTTTATCAAAAAGAAATCGATAAGAAGCGATTTATTACGGAAACTTATATAGAACGAACAAAATGTAACGCGAAGGATTGATCCATGAATTTTTCGACGTTCGTTCGTTTCACCACTGGAGAGAATAAACGAAATCTTTTTCTTCTATCCGGACCGCTCGGATCACGAAAAAGAACTATGGAGGCAGGTTGGACCGTTGGAGCAGCGCGGCGGTTTCAAAGTTTTCGAAATACGAGTCGTGTTGGCAGCCTGCGCTTTTAGCGCGATTTCAAATAAAGTTTTCCCCGATATTTCTTCCCGGTCTGTATTTTCCAGCAAATTTGTTGTTGTAAACCGATGTCTTTTAGTAACGAGGCTCTGCATAGACGAGCTTTAATTCAAAAGCTGATAATATCGATCAGTACAAAGATATCGTTACCGTTGACATTGACAAATTTTACTCTCGCCTTTGCTGCTGACAGTTGTGACAAATGAAAAAACTGTTCGCCGTCACTATACACAAAGAATCGTAGTGCTCCACACTTCAGACGATTTTATTCCGCCAGAACAGCACGCGGAAGTCTTTTTACTCTTTCTGATAAACGTAAACATATCGATCCGAATTCTGTGATTGCGTTCGGCCGCGAGTGACACATTCAACGAGCGACTTAACGTTAAATTAAAGCGAAATTAAAACTGAAAGCGAAGACTCGTACGAAAGAGAATTGTACAAAAATCGAAGTTACAATCGCGGGAAGGCACGCGTTCCCTCCGGATAACTGGGAAGCAGCCGGAGGCCCGTTTACGCGGATAAAACCTCGCTGACGGAAACGGAGTAATGCATGCGCTAAGAACCTGTTTTCCCACACACACGCGCTGCGGTGCGTAAGTCGAGCCTAGGAGGGAGCGGATTGTTTCTTTTCGGGGAGGTACGCGCCAGTCGTCGTTGTCCCGTTTTCTCACACGTCTCGACGGCGACGCCGACGTCGGCGTCGGCACACGAACACGTTTCTCGTTTGGCGCACCGCGAGACTCGTAAAACTTTCGCAGCACGATACGTGCATGCCGTGTTCGAGGACACTACCGCCGCCGGCTAGCGCAGGAGGCGTTGCGACGGCGGCGGCGGCGGCGACAGTGGTGGTGGTGGCGGAGGTAGTGGTGGTTGCTACGATGCCACTGGCAGTGCCTGGTGCTGGCGGTGGTGGTGCGATGGGTGGTGATGGTGGTAGTGGTGGTGGTGGTGGTGGTGGTGGTGGTGGTGGTTTCGCCGGCGAGGACGGTGCTGATCAACACGAAAGGACCAGAGCCAAACGAAAATGCATCAGCGGACCCAGCAGCTTCCGCGTTGGTCCCTCTGCAGCAGCAGATCGCGATGTTTCATCTTCGAGGATACTTTGATCGCAATCGGCGACCCGGCGATCTGTATTTACACCACCGCGAGATATCTTACGAGAGTTCTTCAAACGATATCAAAACGATTTCGTTTAGCGGAAATACGATACTCCGTCCGAATGTAATTTTTAAATCATTTCACAATCGCACTTTGCCTTGAGAAAAATTCCATTTAATTTGATGACTGAGCTACGTCTTTTCGTAATTAAATTAAAAATTCGGCCGCCACACCTCTATAGTTCCGAGGAGCTCGAAGACCGCGCGTTGTCGCGCACACTCACTCTATTTTTTCTTTTCTCACTATCGCTTGATCTTTTTTCTCTTGCAGATGGCGAACAATGTCAAAGTTAACTGATCGAAGAAAAAAAGATTCCTCTTCTCTCATTATGTTTCTCGACGCACGGTTGCACACGCAGATACCTCACGCACTATTCTGAAATTCGGAACGAATTCCATCAACGGGAACAGCGACGAACATTTTGGAGTTCCTCCGTGTGATCCATCGATATAAACTTCATTCGAGTCGATGCTCGATCTTTCTTTTTTTTTTCAATTTCAAACCAAACAGATTTGTAGTCCGGAAGATTCGTATTTTCCGCGATTTTTTGGGTTCTAGATATTTCGCCGCAACTCTGTCTCAAATAAAACTATTTTTTATTATTCCCTTTGTCCTTCCTGGACTACCGTTCCGCACACCACCGCCATTCGCGCCGCTTTACTTTTTAATTTTATACGTATCGTAAACGACGATTCTATCCCCCTCCCCCCAACTCATTCGCGCTCTCCTCTCTTTCTCTCTCTCTCTCACACACACACACACACTCATGCAGAGACGTACACCTCCCTCATACCGTGTAACGCTGAGCGTCGCGCGTTGAACAAGATAGGACACGACGCGCCGGTCGTCCCTCGTGTTCCTACGACGGAACGAACGAAACTGTATGTACCTTTGGTTTGGCGGGCTATCCCGTGCTGAGTGCGGCGTATCCGCCGCGCGCCCACTGTGAGTTCTCTCCGATTAGTAGTAGTGACGGTGGTGATAGTATTAGTAGTAACAGTAGTGGTAGTAATAGTAGTAGTAGCAATAGTAGTATTAGTGGATAGTCTTTGTGGGTTGTCCGCACGCGGACTCGCTCGGTCGCTCGCCCGTTCACAGCTGCATGCCCGCGCTCGTTTTCGCCCGCTCGTCTTGCGCGTGATTCGGGTGTACTCGGCATTCGTCGGCTGTCATCCCGCCCGCTATGGCGGGAACAACCCAGGACTCGGCATCAGGACCCAGCACCATCGGCGGGGAGAGACGAGGAACGAGCGAGGAGGAATAGCGCGGAGGGAGAGAACGAGGACGGCGCGATCTCGTTGGGGCTCGCGGAGCGGGCTCCGACCGATGCACGTGTGCTACGAGGGTTGGGCGGGGAAGGGGGCACGGGGAGGAGTCCGCGGATGGGGTTGAAAGTTGCGCACGCGCGTCGCAACCCCTCGCGAATGAAGGAACGAGCGTGTGAGCGAGCGGGCGAGCGAGCGACCAAGGGGATGTGCTCCGTTCCAGCACAGCTTCCTTCTTCTTCGTTCCCGATGATCTCGCCAACGATGATGCTCGATGTGTTCCTTTGGTCTCCGCAGCTTTCGCGGAGCACATCTCTAAAAGAAATCGTGAATCCGCAAAAGTTGCGCGACTTGAAACGCACGTGCTCAAACTTCTTTCGAAAAAATATAATAGTTATTGAGAGTATATTTAGAAGCGTTCATCAACTGCAAAATTAATTAACTAGAAAACTCATCAAATTCCACGAATTATCTCAATAAAATATGCAATATTAATGCGAATATCCCTTTCCTGTCCCTCAACGAATTTTTAATATATTTGAATATAATCGGTCTTACTTCGTTTCGCTCATACCTCTCCACGGAATTACGTTCTAATTTGCGAACTACTTGGTTCCTTTTCCGGGACTCGTAAAAAAAGAAAAAAACGCGAGAGCTCGTAAAACGTAGGCTAGGCCTCGAGTACTTTCATCCCTCGAGCAACCAATCGCGACCCTCGGAAAGCTTCTTTCTCTCCCCCTCTATCTCGAGGGCTAACGATTTATTTCAGCGACCTCTCGGATTCGATATCAACGACTTTTCGGGCCCCGGGGCGAGACGCAATTCCCGACGCGTAACCCTTCCCACGAATTTCTCACCTTCCACCCCCTCGAACGCGAGCGATTTCGGAAGCCGACAAGTCACGCGGTAACGTAACGTAATGTGGCAAATGGAGCAGGGATTCGAGAGGTCTGGGCTGCGTTCGGGGTTTCGGGAACACGCTGAAATGTGTTACACGGCGATAATACCGTCGCATTTTCCTGGCGCGGAAATCTCGATCTTCGCCTGCCACGCGCGTCGTTGCCGACTCTTCGATGAGGGTACAACGAGATGTTTATCCGAGGTGTTCACGCACGGGGATACGGGCGCAACTTTTCCAACGGATACTGCGCGCACATATACGATCGCTGCGGGTATATTCATCATTTCTAGATTATTGCGTTAGTTAAACCAGATGTTAAGCGGCGCGAGAGTTCGAAATCTCGTGTTCCAAGTATTCGAATTAACTCGCCGAGATGCGATTGTTGTCGAAGAGCGAAGATGAAAATTGTGAGATAACGACGTAATTTGAGTTTCGATTTAATATCTCCTGCATCGCGTCAATCACGTGTTTGCGATCGAAGCGGCGGATCCGCCCGTCGAGTCGCGGAGTGGCCCGGGGCCAAGTTCATCCCGAAAAGCCCTTCTGGCCGAGTTTCCCAGATCCCTACTGGCTCTGTCTCTCGACTTCGGTGCGTGTGCGGTTGGAAAGAGCGTACCGCACGCACGCATGCACGGTCGCACGCACGCATCACCGAAAAGCTCGACTAATGCGTGGAGACCCGATTAACATGACAATAGCAGCAGGCGCATGCAGATATAAATTAATACGTATTCTTCTTCCCGATGGAAGGCCGACGAATCACGACAGCATCGTCGTGTCCCTTTCGTACGTAATGATGCGACCGCTTGATAAATCACCCTTCCGGCCCTATAACTAGATCGCGTTGTGCTCGATCAAGTCTTGTAAAAAAAAGCGAATTGAAAACCAAATCTTTCCTCGCTTCGCTTCGGCAGCAGTCATTTTGCAGCTTTGCATGAAATTCGGAGGACAGATGCTGTTCAGATTACAATGATGTCGAAATAAATCAGTCGACAGAAATCAGGTAGATGGGAAAACTGCGGAATGCATCATCGGATCGTAGACACAGTGACTCTCAACAAAAAATCCCAAATTCGTTTCGAGAAACAATTTTACTTGCTCGTGACTCGCAAGGAATTCTAGATCGGATAGGAATAAAATAAAAAAGACTACTTCGTAGAATTGTTCGCAGATATTTGACATGTGTAAATGTCATCAGTTGCAGTAGTAGATTGAGAAACAAGGTTGAGATGCACTTCCAAAAAGTCATTCACTTCTATTCGTGATACCTGAACTTTTAACTTCTTTTAACTTCTCTCGAAAGTCGAAATCCAACTGATCTGGAGAAACATTTTATCGATTCTCAGCATCTTTTCAACTGTATCGATCTTTCAGCTGTTGCAAATCTTCAATTGAAAATTATTCTCTATTGAATAACATCGTTAGTCCTTCTTGCACAATGTGGGAGATTATGCACATATCTACTATTTTATAAGCTACAAAATTCCAATATAAGATAAGATTATATGACTTTTTATCAAAATGTCATTTAAAAAGAATTCAAATTCTTCAGATTATTCATTGAATCTCAAACTCTCATGAAGAAATATGCAGTATATATCTACGTATTTTAATAGTCACGCGATGCATACTATTTGATAACGAATCTTAAGAAATATCGATCTAGCGTATCAATGCATCGGTGAAGCAGAAATGATCGACGAAAGTTCGGTCGCTCGTGCATTTCGGTCTTGCGCCATGTGTGCCGTATTGCGTCAAATACAGCGGTGAAAGCAGCTGCAACGTCGTGACACGCGTCCATTGTCGGTATTTCATGGGCAACGAAAAATGAAAAATCGTCCCTCGTATTCCCGTCTCTTGCCATACGAAATCCCTTCGGCCTTTGACCTCTGATGTTGCGAGAATCACCTGGACCGCGAAAGAGAGAAAGAGAGAGAGAGAGAGAGACATAGAAGATAGACAGAGATAGACAGATTCTTTGGGAAATTTATTCTCATGGCTTGATACCTTTTCTCTTTTCTAATCGCGCTGTGAAAAATCTTTCCCATAATTTGCGTCATCTTAATTAAAGTGATCTCGAGGCATATCGAAAAAGACGCAGTTGCGCAATATATTACGAAGTAATTTGAAATATATTACATAATATAAATAAATAATTTAAGAAATTGACTTGAAATTTGTATTCTCTTCATGATCTGTGAAACACCTTACGCGCGATAGTGATGGCGCTACAGACCGAGGATCGGTGAATTCATCGAAGGACCCCAGAGTGCGAGGGTGCGAGGGGTTACTCTAGGTGTTCAAGCGAATTGGGGGTCGCGTATATATAACCCCGCCTCCTCTCTGCCTATCCAACGCGTACCATCTTCGATGTAGTGGCCTGCCACTAAATCGCCCCAATTGAAAGGGTTTAAATGCTCTTTTTTCTTGCTCTTCTGCAATAGGGCAATAACCGCAGTGGCAAGATATTCTAAGAAAAATGTATTACAGTCGATATACTGTGTATTTTTTCGCTCTCTCTTTCGTACTTTTTTTAATTCAAAAATATCAATCACATATACAGTGAGTGAAGTTTTTTTGATAGATTCGAACATTAAAAAGACATAAAGTCTAAATAATTACTAGATGTGTTCTACAGCAAGTTTTAAAATTTGACTTCTTCTGTACTTGTTAATAAAACAACGGATTATTTATTTATCTTGACATTCGTCCTCATTAGCATCCGTAAGAGCACGAAACATTTTGTTGTATCAGACACATTTCTTTGCGTCTAATTCCATAGTAATCTAAAGTAAGTTTTTAAGATTTTAATTATTATTACACTATAACTATTTATTTTTGATAGTTCCATATTCTGAACTTTATTTTTGGACATTATAGACGCGCACCCACAAAGATTACAATTTAACAATTTGACTATTTTTATTTTGCTGGCTGCACTTTTCTCCACTTCTCCGTAAATGACGAACAGTTTTGTCTTATATCTTTCATGTTACAAAAGCATTATTCGGTTTATTTTTTTGTATATATAAATTTTTACGTCTTAACTGTTACATTCTAATTTTTTTGTTCATATTTGTTTTGGACTCTTCCTAATTTATTAATTTTTTACTTGTGACTGATGATGACTAATTGTAAGTTAAGTTCAAAACTTTCAAATTAGTGTAATTAATTTTTATGAATAAATATTATAATATTATAATATTATTTTAATTTGTGACTAAATTTTCTGCTGGTTTAATTGACCTGGTTCTTATTTAACACTTTAAATAATATATCGGCCCTGATTAAAAATATGTAATTGCAAGTATTATTAAAATATAAAAAGCATTAATGCAGAATACGATACGCAGAATACGCCATACGGGGCAATTATTTCTCCATAGTCGTCAAGACTTATCTTCATTATGATGGACAACGAATCGTAGCGATATCACGATCGATACTTTCTCTCGCAGAGGCTCGTTAGAAACATCTGCCGCGACCTGACGTTGTCGTTCCCGCGAATGGTTGCGGCTGCGAAACATCAGGACAATTTCTGTGCATTGTCCTTTTGAGTTATTGCTTTCCTTTCTACTCGAATTTTTTCAAGTTCCACATACGCTCTATAACCCCAATCAATTCAATAACAATAATGTTGATGCTAGGAAGAATGCAAGTAAACTATTATTAAATTAATGCTTAATTACGTAACACTTTCGCTCATAATGGAATAATTATCAAGAGATTCAAAATGCGTTACGTAAACAATCTTTGGTTTCACGTTGCAAAGCGAGTTACTTTATAAAGTATAAATTTGGAAAGAAAACTCAGGTAAGTTGACAAAAACTCAACAGGAAATTCGGGACAGCTGTCAACACGGTAGGCTAGAAAATCCAGAAAAAAAGAGCCGCGTTGTTAATAGCTCTAATTTCGTGGAGATTCCTGTGCAACTTTTGTCCTGCGCCTGAGCCCGCAAGATTTCCCAGGATCAAGTTCTCATCTTCATTTTTATGTTAGGAGAGACGCGCGACATGACGTAATTTCCTAAAAGAAGTTATCGAAGATAATCGTCTGCATAGAGAATGCTGCGAAAATTCAGTTTTGCGACCTCGATATAGATTAAATATTTTTTAGGATAATTGTTTACTACCCAAAAATTACAATTATACAATAAAGGTATCGATAAAAGATTTGAAACATTTTAACACGCAATCATGCGAATCAATGCAATCTTGTCGTAGTGTGCGTCACGTGCTCGTAGTACCGTCGCGAAGTTTGCAGGGCCATCGATCGTCCCTCTGCACGCGGTCTTTCGCGAGTCTCGTCGCGGCACGTCGCAGGAGGCCGTCTGTGCGTGAGCGTGTAAGTGAGTGTCATACGCGCGTGTTCGTGCGTGCGTGCGTGCCTGCGCGCGCGCGCGCCCGGAGCACGCACTTACGCACGATCGACGCGGATCGTTCGCTCGTTGTGCGTGGCGCGCTACGTTGCCATGACGACCAGCGGCAGTGCCACGCATTGATCGCAAACGACGCAGACTCCCGCTCGCTCGCTCGCTCGGCGGTGCGTGGACTACGGAGTCGAGTGCGTAGAGACGCGACGGAGAAAGGAGAGGAGAACACGAACGCGCCACACACATACAAGCGCACGCATACACACGTACGTACGCACGCACGAACGCAGCATGTGCGCACGCATGCACGCACGTAACGCACGCATGTAGCACGCACGCACGCACGCACGCGAGAGGCAGGCATCGGGGATAATGCGCGTACGAAGCGGACACGCCGGGCTTCCTCGCTCTTTGCGAGGCTTTCTTTCGTGTTTTATAACGACGATTTAGAGCGTCCGTTTAAGCTATAGACTATCATTATTCTCGCCCGTACAGAACAACGATAATTATTAATTCAGCTCCCTTCAACGTCTTCGATTTCCCTAGTCTTTAATCAAACATACGTTATCATTAGACATTCTTAATACAGCTCGTTTTATCGTTAATCCCCAAATTTTATTTCCGCTTCCTATTTGCTTAAATCTGTTTTGAATAAGATTAATGTAAACTGATGAAAATAAAATATGCACTTATATATGTCTCTCTGGAGCTCACCACAAATGGCATGAATTATAAGATAGGTACTAAAATAACAAACAAATTTTATTTTTTTAGCTATGTGCACCCTCTTTTCATAAAATATATAATTTTTAACTCTTTCAGTTCCGGCTTCGACTTTAAACGGAATAAAGATCCACAAGATCCCAGCTTTTCCCCGCAAAGATACCTACAGTTCGAGGTAATAAAATCGCGTCGTCGCGTCGCGCCGCGCCGCGCCGTGCGGTGTCGGCCGAGCAGAAGCGGCAATGGATGAACGAAAGGGTTAGCTTCGAGATTAAAAGGAAGTCACCCCCTGCTCCTCCCTTCTCTTCCATCAATCACAATTATATCCTCTCTCTCCCCTGCTATCGTTCATAATTACTGCTCGTGACTTTATCCCGGCGCTCGAAGCTGCCGGTCGACCGGCTCGGTATAACGCGAGAGAAAAAGAAGAAGGGAGGGGGAAGGAATATGGATGCTCGGAGCAAGAGATGGAGAATACAATAGACTTTTTGGCACGGAGTTGACTGTAAAACTCCCTGTCGAGGGGGTGGCAGGGATCTTGAGAGAAAAAAAAAGTTTCGAGCCCTCCGGCCGTAGTTCTGATCGCGGAAACGGAAACGCGAAGTCGCTATCTCTCTTTAAAAAAAAAATCTCTCTCCGTCGCAGCTTCGAGCTCGCAAAATTTCTACTCGGACGAACCGGAGTGAAATATTTTCTCGAACGCAATTAAAGCGCGATCGCTCGGATGCGTCCCATATTATACAGTTCGCTTTCAGTAAATAATGTCATGGTATTCGATGACGCAGAGCGTTCGCGCGGGCACGGTGCATTAAACGCCACCGATGAACTTACGTCACATTAAAAAAAATTATTACCAAGTATCCAAGGTCGCTTTTTTATGCAAGTTCGCTCGGGGAAAAAAAATATCATAGGTAAAGTCTGTGCCGTCAGCGTTGACCTTACGCAGTCTTTTTTACGCGCAATAAATCCCTATTCCGTTCAAGTGTGACGTATGTATTTTCATCGGCTGACAATCGGTCGGCTCGAGCGATGGGATAACGGTGTCTAATCAATCGAGCGATTCCGCGAAATCGCGATTTGTGTTGGCCCGACCCGCCGCACAGTAGGGCAAAATTCCGAAAAGCTTGGTCAAAATTAATAAATAAACTTTGATTTGAATGCAAATTGCTACAGATATTTTCACGGTATTTTCAAAGTTGCTGTTAACGAACACAAAGTCAAATTTACTTCGAACTTAAAATAATAAAAATCATAACAAAATAATAGTATTTACATGTTTAGACATATAGTTGTTAATCGACCGAAATAATTGTCAAAAAAAGAAAAATTTTAACAAAATAAAAATTAGTAATTAGGCGACTCTATACCATTAAGCTGCTTTCCTCATTTTAAATGCGATTTTATACCAAATAGTTTGATTGTGAGTACAAAATTCCGATTAGAGCAACAAATTAGCACATAAAAAAAAGTTAAATTTTTGACTGGTTCGAATTTAATTTACGACGATGGGAAGCTCAAAGAGAGGTTAAATTCGCACAAATTTCGCCACCCCGTCGGTGAAAAATTAAAAAAAAACTTAAAATATTGACCAATATACATTGTTCCAATATACATTGCTAGTACTGAAAATCAGCTATAACATACGTAACGCGAACTATAAATTTTCAGTACTGACAATGTATATCAAAACACAATCGTATCGTAATGCGCCAATGTGGTCAAACAACGCAAGCGGAAAAAATTATTACAGCTAAATTGATAGCTATATTCGCAACCAATTTTTGTAAATTTCGTAAGTGAAATTTACGTTGTATCATACTAAAAACATGTTCACGTACAGTCCAAACGACTAAATCCCTTGATGATTAGTAGTCATTTCCAAATTAATAATTATACAATTAAAATCGAACACGAAGTAACTCCATGTGCAAGCACGTTGATTCATAATCGACGATCCTGAGTCGGGATCTCGACAATCTCTCTCACTCCATTACCTCGATTTTATGAGGCTTATTAAAAAATTAAAGGTTGTGAGAATGAAGAAAATGGACAGTAAAACAAGAATGTGAAAATTCACGTATTAACTTTTTAACGCAATAAATTTGCCGATGTAATGCCGTTCGTGCAAATTTAGATTACACGATCCGGTGAAACAGAATTTCGCATCCCAAATGAAGATAAAAAAAATCAATTAAAGCACTTTCAAGTTGTTTGACATATAAAGAATGCTAATTTTCTTTGCTTTGCTGCGCACTCTAAACATACGAAAGTGACAAATATAAATGGTAGACCTTCTACTTTTGCAATTTATATACCAGTCATCCTTCTAACCAATCTCCAAGTAAAAAATATTCCAATCTCGGGATATCTCTTTTTTGGGATTTTCGTCCCTCGCTGTGCCAAACGTAATAAGTTGACAAACTTGACCTATCTGATTGCCCAGGAAATGACACGGAAGCAGAAATGGGTCACTTAATATAAAACTCTCTAAATTTTCTGAAGTGACTTTTCACTCTTTTGGAGTGAATTTCACTCCAAAAGATTGAAAATACTGCCACTCGGCCACTTGAGTGGCAGTATTTTCACTCCAGAAAATTTAGAGAATACGATTTCGCGCGTTTAAATCGAAATTAATGAAGTCTCCCTCCGAATTAATAGCGTACACATATATATACGTGACGCGTAACAAGCTTTTCTACTTATACATTCGATGCATTTTTGTAAACAAGTTCACGTCTTGTTTACGTGGTCCATGTGCTTCGCTCGTCATCTTGCGACTTGGTATGGATCAAAGGTGGGCTTCCTCTTCCTGAAACGTGACATCTGGATGCCGTGAATCGGCTCGGAATCTCGATTTAATCTCGCCGAGGCTCCAGATGCGAGGCAAACCGCAGTAAATTATCGTGGTACCATTTGGCGTTTTTATAGCGTATATAGCGAGTATGAACAAATATTTTATTATCTTTAAAAAAATCGTGATACTTCCACAATTTATAGATTCCGATTATGGACCAGTGGATCAAACGCGAAATATTAAACGTAAAAAAATAATTATAAATTATAAAGTGTTTTTAAAATTTTGAAAATATCCGACAAGAATTTTTTTTAAATTAATACATTATCCTTCGCTCCATATATATACGTACATACGCTATCGCAGAACGACCTCGCTCCTCTGCGGAAGGCCCCTTCGTCCGTCGCTAGCTCACACACGCTTATGCGCGTGCATATAAACGGAAACCCTTCAAGTAGCCTACCATCCACCTCATGTGTACAGACACTTCTGTCACGCACGAGTGGAGGGAAACGCGTAAGGTACAAGTGCACGCGTATAGATGCAACCGCGTGTAGGTGCAACCGCGTTGCACTTATGTACGTACATATGCACGTACGTACACCTACAATTCACCCCTCTTTTTGCGCTGGACGCGAAGGGGTGCCGAGGGGGACATCGGGGTGGCAGCTCTCGAGCAGGTGCGAGCGAGTGGGTGCGTGCGAGAGAGCGCGGTTTCTCCAAGCAGAACGGAATTCTACAGCAAATTCGCGCTAAATGGTCTCTCTCTTTTTCTCTTTCGATAACGTGCTTTTCAGCGACAATTTTTTAGTGTGTCTATTGCAATAACGCTCGGTACCTTCGTGAAAAATTATACACAAAAAGTATGATTTTGCACGTCTGTTACGTAACTTGCTATTGGAACAGATAAGATGCTGCCGTTAAGTATTACCATCAAAAATATAACCGCTGTCTACTGAAAATTACGTGCGGCATTTAGAGTCGTATCAACGTTACGGTAAGGGCTCCGCAGGCTCGCGAAAATCGTCAGGAAACTGGGCGGAAAGGGTGTCGCGTTACCCCGCAACATTTCCGCGCGAAACTTGCGCGTGTTTGACCTCCAGTTCCTCCCCCAACATCCCGTCTCTCGTCACTCGGCCTTCATCCCTCTTTTACGTTCGTCCGTCCGTCCTTTTCTAACTTGCACAAGTTGTGAAATCGAGATCCGTTATTTTATACCTTCTCGAATTTTTCTTTTCGCATTCCTCGAACATTTAGTATATCCACCTTGATAAGATGTCACGATTAGAACCGTAATATCGTGTTTCACGCAACCGGTGAAGGAGCCGATAAGTTATTAGTACGATAAGTTATGATAAGTCATCATAACAATCGGCGCTTGTCCATTTTGTGTAATCTTGAATAATAATTTATTTCAAAGATTCACAGATATTTTTTATAACAACAATCCCTTGTTTCTTTATGGAATCAGTTTTTATGATTTACATAGTAAAATGATAATTTTTTACTGAAAATAATTGATATCAATGAACCGCAATAGCAAATAAATTGTCTTCATTTATTCGTGTATAAATAGCGCGTATAACAGATCCAGATTTAAATTTTTATTACGTAATTAGAGATTGCCTTTCGCCGTCCCTTTTCAATCTCCACTAAAGAAAAATGCTTATATTGTATAAATAAGCTTAATCATACATGGCGATACAACTATTTGTTGAAACAAAATAAAATACCCCTAAATAAAATTCTCACATATCGTTGAAATAAAAGAGAGCAGGGTTGAGAAGTAACGCGTTACTTGTAACGTTACTGGTTTCATTATTTTTTTTCCAGTAACGATTATTGCTTTTTTCTATTTGTAATGATAACGTCGTTACATTTTTATACTTTTATTTTCTTATTTTATAATAGAATTTTAATTAATTTGAAAAATATTTTGTCTCTATATTTATAGGTTACATTTCGATAGTCACTACCAATATTAAAGTCTATAATTCACATTACTATAGATTTTCTATAGTAATGTGAATACTATAGATTTTCTATAGATTTACTATAGATAGTACTAATAGTGAATATTGGAATGCACTAATGTTGATTAATGATTAATGTTTCAAAAATATATAACAATAAAAGTAATCTAACTTTCTATAAAAATAAGTAATATAAAGAAAATATATAGACTAGTTTAAAGAGTTTAAAGTTTTAATATTTACTACATTTAATAATATTTATCAAATAATATAAATTTAAAATCTAATTAAACTTATTTTAGAATTACAAAAAAGTAACGAATCGTTATTTTTGAAGTAACAATAATGATAACGCGTTACTTTTCTAAAGTGATGTTCTCATCCCTGAAAGAGAGTAACATATACTAAAAACTATATGTAAAATTGATGATCTGTAATAATAGCGCGCAATTGCGCAATCTATCTCTGTAAAATTTTTGGCGAATCGGCAATTGAGGATGCCGAAAGATAAATAAGGAATATTTTAGATGGCTTTACTGTAGACAATAAAAGTCTATAAAAAATCCGTGTATACACGGATCTTTTATATAATTTTATTGTATAGATATTATATTATATCCTACGCTAAATGAGTGAGTATATAGAATTATGAATATCGGCACAGCGACATCTCTCGCCGAGAGATTCTCCGCTTGTCCGCAAAGAAGCACGTTGAGAGCGTTTATTGATGCATTTTAACTGAATTATGCCGTTTGCGGTTTGCAATTAATAATGGCAATTAACGATATGCTGATAACGAATATCCGCCTCCGTCTTACACCGCTGGTAATACGCGTCGCGATACACCACTTGCTCGAGTACCGTTCACAGAACGCTACATTATCGGTACTCACTTTCAATGCCCCATTTCCAGGCGCGCTCTGCATCGCAGAATTACGATCGTGAAGAGAACGACATGTACGACCGCGTGTGTTTAATAACGCTCTTACCCCCTGAAAATATACCCCCATTCACACGCCATAGCGCGACGCCGTGAGTCGCCGTGTCCTCAGAAATTCGATACGATCTGGCACGAGCAGCCGTGCGGAAACCAGAATAAGTCGGTGTAAAGTCGATTCCCGCTCCCCTCGAGCGCGACTAGTCTCTTTTGCACAAATTGCTGCTGGCACCTACTCCTGTATCCCTCCGGGATGGAGCATATACCGTTGCACACGTCATTCCTAAAAGCATAGCGAGAGGATTGGTATCGCCTCAGTTCTCACAAGTCTCCCTCCAGTTCGATAATGATATCGTTTCCGATGTGACGTAAAAAGATGACCTCTCGTGAGTTAATGTCACTTTTATTAGAACGAACGTGCAAATTAAAAAGGTGAAACGCGAATTAAATTAGAGCGATATAGCTTTACAGATATTACAAGTATTCTCTCCGGAGTCCCGTGTTAGATTTATCTTTACGACAAATTTTCTGCAAACACACTTACAAGCATTTCTCGCTTTTGACAAGTTGCGTGTATTTGTTTTGCCCAGGAAGATTCACAACGTACATCCAGTTGCCCTGTTTGTTCAGAGCGGCTCGGGGAGCGATATACTGCGCTTGCGTGGGGCACAGGGGGATGACTTCCGGATCCGACTGCCTCTTTACTCGGTCGCCCTTAAGTTTCGCGTACCCCAATAACGGGTTCACGCTATAACTTCGCGGCGCTATCTTGTCGCCTCGCGAATATCTGTTATATTTAATAAAATAAGACATAAATATATTAAACGCGTACGCGCGCGCAAGAAGAAGTCAATCGTTTTAACTTCTCCGTGCGAAATTTCGTACCTATTCGTCAACCACGATTGATTCGGTCCAAACACGGATTCCTGCGAATAAGCACGATCGATTTGTCGCTGGACATTGTGATGGTACTTCAGCGTTACTTCCGGGAGAAAAGGATACCTTTGCGAGTGTGACGGTGTAGAGTATTTGTAACTGCAATACGACAAATTGAAAATCTAACTTTCTATGCTAATATTTTACTTCGCTTGTATCACTATTTAAGTTTGTCTTTTCGTCTCATCTCGTACAGATGATGTAAGATGATGTAATTCGACACGCGTATGCGTGATGAGCCTTACCCGTGATAACGGCTACTATTGGACGGAGGTCCATATACTGAGGCTGGCTCTCCTCTCGGAGGAGACTGCGTGTAATATTGACTATCGTCTTGCCGTGGATAATCATAGCCTTGATAATCCGGGGGGGAACTTAAAAATGATAATAAGGATGTACGGAGATAGCAATCAAATTAGTGTAGTATTACGATTAGTGATATTAATGGTTAATTATACATCAACGTATCTAACTATATAAATTATTAAATTATTCATTATTAACTTATCTGAGTCTTTTGCCATGTTAAGTTTTTTTTCGATATATATATATTTATGTGTATCACGATATTCCAGTTGTACTGAAAATATACCTGTAAGCGTTGAAATCGTCGCGAGATTCATCTTGCAACGCGGTGTTAAAGTCGAAGCTGCATTTGTCGACGAGAAACTTGATGAGTTGGCTATAAAAAAAAAAAGAAAAATAAAATGAAAAAAAAAGAAAGAAGCCGTTACCTCTCCCGAAGACGGAATACAATGCGTTGATAAAAAGCGAGCGATGCAATTCTCTTCGAGAATTGCATTCGACCTTTGGCCCCGCGCGCGAGCTGAGATCTCGCAACGCGTATCAAAGATGCCCGGTCATTCTGTCGCTCGGTCGAACGACCGAGATTCGTCTCTCTTCCAGGTTGACAAAAGATTATTTACGCAGGTGCGTTCTCAATTGGGTGCATTGCGCAACTGTGTTAGGCCTGAGCAAGCATTAGCGAGGCGAGATGCGGCGTGTTTGTTTGCGGGCGAAATGACACGCGCGCGACGCCGTGAGCGATAGGCCGACTCGAGTCAGCAATTTGATATTTCTGACAGTCTAATTGACCGTTGCTCGGGTCGTTCCTACGTGCGTAATTGTCGGAAGTGACAGCTGTCGCAGTCGCAAGTTTCTCCAGTTGTAAAAATTATTCAACTTGTTCACCGATGAGATATCGTCGCCGCTTATCGAAACTCTAAATCTTATATTTCGCTACATGGCGCTAAAAGATTTTACAACTGCACGAGACGAAATAAAGCATTATCAGAAATATTTTCAAATATCTGAATTGTTAAAAAAAAAAAGTTTGTGTTTTGCGCGTAAAATTCCGCCGTTTTATCTCTACGCAATCGTCCGTTTTATTATTTATTTTCTGCAAACTTGTTCAAACGTACGCGATTCGCGAGTGCTCGATACGAGTGTCATCCATGCAAATATTTGAGGTCACTTCGCAAGAGCGATTTGTCCAGTGGAGGAGAAAGAAGGAGGCGCCCCGGTGTTTTCGGTATGACGGGACTCGCGTTTGGCAACTATTGTAACGGGCCCAATAATTATCCGACAACGTATGACCGCGTCAAGGCCACGGTCATGGTACGCTGAGCAACGATCTCACGGACGTTCTTACATTATAGCGACCGCTCACTTTACGTAACTCTACCTAACATCTTCGGGATAGGACTCGAGCGTGAAAGTGCAACGCGGAGATTTGGGAAATCGACTCTCGTAGCACGACTTGCATATGTGTCATGAGAACAGCAAGCGGAGGGTAATCGCGGCCGCTCTAACGTCTCATTTCTGTAGCCCTTACCGCGGCGCGCAGCTGGAAGTTCTTCTAGGCTAGATCGCGCTTATAAAACGAGAATCGTCTTACGGGCGAGAGTCGCTCCGGCATAAAATTGATTGTGCAAGCCTGTTAAGGCAAACTTCGATGCTTTCGAGAAACGGCGGATTCTCACCTCTCCTCCTCCGAGGAGAGGAGAGTTATAGCGGACTTTCCCCTCCAAAAGTTTTTCTTGACTTGCGGCGTCGGTGATTCGTATGCATAGAGGAAGGCGGAAGGTGGACACGGTGGACGCGGCGAAAGGAATATCAACAATTGGAAATGGGTCGACCGGATCGTCGCAGATTTCCACTTGTTGCGTTACCTCGTCGCCGGCTCGACAGAGATATTTTTAGGAGGGCAGAGGGGAGGAAGGGAGAAGGGGAGCCCTAAGGCACTTACCGCGGATAATGGTCCGGGGTTTCGCAGAAGGTCTGCCCCGGCTGCGCGCAATGGGGGGTGAGTCCTGGAGGCGCGGGTACGAAGGGTTCGTACTGCGGCCGTCCTGGACATCCGTACTCCGTACAAGGTTCGCCCCGGGTGACCATCAAGAAAAACTGTTGATACATGTATATGCATGCATTATAATAAAATTCGTAAAGAAACGAGTTAATTTCGAGGAATTAGAAAAATGTTAATTTTTTTAATTTAAAAATTTTTTGTTTACTTAAATTCTCTACGCGAAATATTCCCACCGTGTATCCCAACGTAATAGCGCATACGTTTTGCATTCGTGATCAAATGTACGATGAAACTTGAAGCACGAGATCAGCACTAGTGTCGACTAAGCGCTATGTATGTAAAATGTGGGACCACTTATTGTGAAATACTGCACCGGCTTGTAATTGATCGCTTATCGGGATACTTCCTGCATAGTACAAACGCGTGCTTTTTGCGACGGTATTAATCGGTTCTCTGATTCAGCCTACACGTAATTCGATCGGCAGATAAAAAGAGCGTTAGTTATTAATCAAGAAGATGAGTCAATGGAAACCGCGATTAGAAAGGTATACGCAGCGTGCGTTTGCAATTAATGGAAAGAACATTACATCAGATTTAAATACAGCTTCCTGCGTATTCTGCAATGATCCGCAGGCCATTGGTGTGATTACTCTTAACGTTAGATTGGACCGACCACTTACGATTGATATTAGATGCCACGCGAACGCCATTTCGATCTATCGTTATGATTCACCCCTCCGTGATAGAACCTTCTCTCCTGTGGTGAGCACGGCAGGTGTCTCGGCAGGAAGGAGGCCGCGAAGTCACTTAATTGGCATCGCGTGCTGATCAATCGCCGTGCCGATGTCACCGCTGATAAACGATAACCCGACCCGACCCGGAATCGCTGCTCTGCAGGACGATCGTAAGAGACCGAGAGAGGAGAGTCCCGTTAAGGATAAAAATCAAAGGTTGAGTCTCGCGCTCGATATACCTTCGAATTTTTCAGATAAGCGACAGCTCGTGCGTACGTCGGCCGTATCTCGATCCGCGTCGACTTTACGAACTTTTAAGCCGAAAGAAGGCGAAACTCAATCCAATTCAGGGATTGCAGATCACCCGTCTTCCTCCTAGACGTTACTGTAGCTGCAACGCGCGTAAGCTCGCTGTCGCACCAGAGACTACGCCAGAGTACGGTCAAACCATAACGGACGTCTCCTCCACTTTTGGCCAGCGTGATTCGAAAGTGTCCACGACACTGGGTCCAGACACTGGCGCGATTCGGCTCTACGCGCCGCGAGTCTACCTAGCAACGTGGGATACGTGGGTATTACCTGTGCGTTGGCCCCTTCCTCGGGCGACGTGCACGACTTCTGCGGGGCTCAGGGTGGGGTAGGCGGACACATACTTTCACTGGAATACGTGCGGCGAGGGATTCATCGACCTTATGACAGCGTGAACTGAGTTTTTCTCCGGATGACACGGATACATCTTGATTACGCGACGTCGCTAGTAGACGTGTAGAAAGAGAAAGAGAAATGCTATTTCTTATACTGAAGCTCAGCGTTTAGTCGACAGAAATCGCTGGTAAAATTTCTTTTTTTTTTCACGTGAGTTATTACACGCATCTATCATTATAAGCTTTTCGATGGAGATAAATTATCATTTAGTGAAAATTTCAGATTATCACTCGTAATACAATGTCAAAAATTTAAAGATTGAGTGAAAGTACGCTAAACATTTCGAATAGTTTTAAAATAGTTGGTTCAGGAAGTAAAGTTATATTATAAGAATTAAGGTATTTTAAACATTTGGTTTGAGCAAATAATAATTTCATAATCTAAAATTATATTTCCTTATCACTCAGAACATTCAGTAATCTAAAATAAAAATAGTTTTATAATCGTGGAGGAGAATAGACAAATAATTATATAATTATTTTAGTTTTATTATTATCTGCGGTTCTATTTGAAATGTAATAAATAATTGTGACGAATCTGTTAGATGCATTGCTAATATTTTGAATCCATATTTTTTATTTATATAAAAAATGCTTCTAATATTCTTAAAATACAAGGGTTTAAATGATTATTCATATTTATCACAGATAGATTGCGACTAACAGGTAAATCAATCGATAAAGAAAACCTCTTCTAATTCGAAAAGATAAAGCTATATAACCACGCGAATTTTTTTATTTGGCTTGATTTAGGAAAGTGAACGGTGTTCGAATATACCGGTCTTACAACCATGTTCGTTTTTAGTTTGGAGTTATGTTTACGGTGCTGATGATGGCGCTTGAAGTACATGTTCGCATTTAGTACGGGACTGCGTTATCTACTGAGAGATACCGTGCCAAGACTGTCAAGCCGCATTGAAGCAGCTGGCAGTGCTGACAGTGCTGACAGTGCTGGCACACTTCTCATCCATTCCAACTGATTTTAACATAACCCCGCAGTGCAGTCGGGCTTGTTCATTCTCTTCGAATCGCCGCATGTGCAATACGCAGTCGCCCAACCCGCGTTTATATTGCCCGAACGAAGCGCGTGTTTAAAGGGGATCCCTCGATGTGAATGGTGCTTAAAGTTTGTCGGACGTTAAAACATTTCTCGCTAGTTGTGACGACTTGTTAATCGTTGCGGTGTAATCATGGCGGCGACCTCGTCACGGGTAGACGAACTCGTGCAGTCTGTCAGCCTGCACAATCCACGGAAATGGATGTTCAACGGTTACATCCTGCCCTTCGTGATGCTGCAGTCCCTGTGGATCTACTGTTGGATCTTTGTGTACGGCGTCGACGAGTACTATGACGCGGGCCTGGTGGGCATCGCGGCAATCGGCGTGATGCAGATTTTTCTATGCCTATGCTGTCAATGGTCGGTGCACATCCACACGTTTTTGAACTGCAGCTCGGTAAGTGGCGGTCGCCCTTTAATTGGCCTCAAATAACGGGCACGTGGCCCTTCGGTGGCCTCGATATGTCGCGTAACGTGGCGGCCATTCGAACGGCCGGTCTTCTGCTAGGTCGGTCACGTGACACCTCGGCAGTATATTCGAACATCGCGAAAGAGACACACTTTGAGCATGGAATCAATTCAACACGTTTTGTTTCGCAACATTCATTTTTTCTATTTTATCAATGAAATTCCAGGAAAAAGATCCGTACAAAGCCAGGATAGTTAAAGTAGTTCCCACTTCAAATAACGGGAGCTCGGAGCTGATTTCATTACGCCATACGGATCAACAAGAGCCTTGGTTTATTTTTCAAAAGACAAAATATTACTGGGACTCGGACAAAAAGTCATTCAGAGGGTTGCAGTTCCCGATCAATCATTCCGTGAAACATTATTGTGAATGGAAAGGGTATCTCGATCAAAAAGAAATTGAGGCAGCGGAAGGAAAATATGGGAAAAACAAGTACAGTGAATAATTTCTTGTATCACTTGCTCCTTGCAAGATACTTTTTACATCGCTAAAAATATTGTTTTTTTTTTCATTCTAGATTGGACATGGTTGTACCCGAATTCTGGGAACTCTTTAAAGAGCGCGCAATTGCTCCGTTCTTCGTCTTTCAAGTATTCTGCGTGGCACTATGGTGCTTAGATAAATATTGGTATTATAGTATCTTTACACTGATTATGCTTATCATGTTCGAATGTACATTGGTGCAACAGCAACTAAGAAATATGGCCGAGATTCGTAAAATGGGCAATAAGCCATACATGATAATGGTATGAACACGAGTGACATGCTGTCTGCTTGCAACTTGTTTTCTTCTACTGGCGGATTTTATTCACGCTTATTCTTTTTTACTTTTAGGTATACAGAAATAGGCGATGGCGCCAGTTGTTTACAGACCAACTAGTTCCTGGAGATATTGTCTCTATTACAAGGCCTCAACATGATAATTTAGTGCCATGCGATATGTTGCTTTTGCGAGGCCCGTGCGTGGTTGACGAAAGCACATTGACAGGTACTTAAAAGCTTGTAACATTTAAATCACGGACGTTATAGTTATAACAACTCAAAATGTCTAGGTGAATCTGTACCTCAAATGAAAGAGCCTGTAGAAGATATCGACGGAAGTAGAGTTATAGATATCGAAGGAAGTGATAAACTTCACGTGCTTTTCGGTGGCACAAAAGTTGTACAGCATACATCCCCTAGCAAAAATACTCCCGGTCTTCGAGGTATTGCTAATAAATTTCATTTTTTTATGACATTTCCCGCCTACATTTTACAATATTAATAGCGCGATATTACAGCGACCGATAATGGATGCATTGCCTACGTATTGCGTACCGGCTTTTCCACGTCACAAGGCAAACTTTTGAGAACGATATTGTTCGGCGTTAAACGCGTTACGGCCAACAATTTAGAAACTTTCGGTTTCATTCTGTTCCTGCTTATTTTTGCAATTGCTGCCGCCGCATATGTCTGGATCAAAGGTAATTCGATCTTGCACGTAAAGGGGACGATGGTGAATATTTACACGTCGCGCAAATTTCGATTTTAGGCAGCGAAGATCCTACGAGGAACAAGTACAAACTATTTTTGGAATGCACATTGATTTTGACGTCCGTTGTACCACCAGAGTTACCTATAGAATTGTCTCTGGCTGTAAATGCGTCTCTGGTAGCGCTATCCAAGTTAGGTATTTAAAACAGACATATACTTTTACCGAAGGTTTAAATCTTATGAAAACCATACGCATAAAAATTACTATGTATTTTTGCAGGTGTGTTCTGCACGGAACCGTTCAGAATTCCATTTGCCGGCAAGGTCGACATTTGTTGTTTCGACAAGACCGGTACGCTTACCAGCGATAATTTGGTTGTCGAAGGTATCGCGGGTATCAAGTAAGAAACTATTATCTTTTTTTATTATCTTAAGATAATCTTTTGTGCGACTAAAAAATACTAATCTTTAATCGAACTTAAATTTTTTTCTTTTTAAGCGGTAAGCCGGACGTGATTCAAATATCGGATGCACCTCTGGAGAGCATTCAAGTGCTCGCCACATGCCATTCCCTTGTTCAATTAGATGACGGTATCGTCGGAGATCCGTTAGAGAAGGCCACTCTTAAAGCTATCAATTGGAATCTCACGAAAGGTAAGTATAAATTTGTAAATAATATAATTAATATATGGGGGAATGTTGAAACTGAATGTTTCACGCTATATGTATAATATACGCCATTTAGGTGACTCTGTAATTCCCAAAAAGGGCAAATCTCCCGCGCTGAAAATCGTACAAAGGCATCATTTTTCATCGGCTTTGAAAAGAATGTGCGTTGTGGCTGGATATAATCTTTCTGGAGCTTCAGAGATACATTATGTGGCTACGGTTAAAGGCGCGCCAGAAACCGTAAAGAACATGGTGAGTGAAATAACATTTTTCTAACAGATTTAATTGATTTTTATATGCCTATTGTTATCGATATAATCTACCATTTCAGTTATCTTCCGTGCCGGAAAATTACGATTCAACTTATTTGTCTCTTTCACGACGCGGCGCAAGAGTACTCGCTTTAGGCTACCGAAAACTTGCTGGTAGCTTGTCCTCTCAAGATTTAAGAGAATTAACTCGTGAAAAGTTAGAGAGCAATCTCACGTTTGCGGGATTTGTCATAATCAGCTGCCCTCTCAAACCCGACTCGAAATCCGGCATTAAAGAGATCGTCAATTCGTCACATTCGGTACGTATGCGTGGTTTTACATAAGTTGTATATATTTCGAGATAATAAAAATTGTCTCGAAATAAAATATTTTTACAAAATTATCAAAAACTGAATGAGTTCAATTATTTAGGTCGTGATGATAACAGGTGATAATCCTTTAACGGCCTGTCATGTAAGCCGCGAGCTACATTTCACGAAGAAGCCTAGCACACTTATTCTGACCGAGGATGAGGATGGCGAATGGTTGTGGGAAAGCATAGACAAAACGACGCGGCTTCCTCTGAGCGTGAAAAATAACGAATCGCGCAAAGAGATCTGGAAGGATCACACGCTTTGCGTGACGGGTGAAGTGTGTAGATGAACAACAAACTTTTCTATTCGTCAAAATTACATCGATCGTTTTTGTTACTGCATAATAAACTTTTCCAGGGTTTATCGTATCTGAAGGAAAAACAACGGGGACTCCTTCGGAAGCTCTTGCCACACGTCGTAATATTCGCGCGATGTGCACCGAAACAAAAAGAATTTATTATTGTATCGCTACAGTCTTTAGGCTATACGACGTTAATGTGCGGAGACGGAACGAACGATGTCGGAGCTTTGAAACACGCACAAGTGGGTAAGTTGACAGAGGAGACTGCGGTAAAATTTAGATATACTTTTATTTTTCTTTCTTCCCCCCCTCCCC